AGCGTCTCAGAAAAGACTTTAATGAGTAATGTTTTCTTGGAATATCAAGTTATTAAAATAATTGTATTTTCATGCAACTGACTCTATACATGTATATCAAGTATCTTACAATTTGGCAACCATTTTAGACGACATCTTGGATGAAAATGTTGTAATACCGGTAAGCACAGTGCAACATGCAGTGTCAAGATTTCCATATTTGTTTGATCGTGATTTCTAAACGAGAATAAAAAAGCGTGATATGAACCTATTAAGAACAACTCATTGCACAACTGACATTAAGATGCACTATAGTTGTCTAAGGTTTTGTCCGTTATTTTTTGAAAAAACTGCATTAAATAAGAGGTTTTTCCATATAATCTCTGAAGAATGACTTCGAATTTACGATTGCATTTCATGAGTACCATTATTATGTTTTATAACAGTGGCTGTACATATTGTTCTGCACATTTGAATAGTGAAATATTACCGCTTTAACACAACTAATAAACATATCATCATGCACTTGTGAAATATTACCATATTGGTTACAATGTAATAATGTTTTGCACATGTGATATCAGCATTTGGTCAGATTTTATAACGTAGATGTAAGTTTGCACCTTAAGTTGCTGTTTGTTGAATATTCAAGCTAAACCTGAACTATCTTTTTAAGATAAGCATAGACTGAACCCAGAGGAGTCCTGAAAATAGTTGATGTCTCCTGAAGTGTGCTGGGAAATGTCATTTAAATCCCCTGCTTTTTAATGATTTCATTCCGGAACCTTTTACGAATGATTACGGATGACCATTCTTCTATCGTAATGAAAGAAGTTGAGTATTAATACACTACATGTAGAAATATGATTTTTGGAATTTTACATTTTTAGATAAAACTTACACATAACACTGTCAGTTATTACATGTACACTAGAGACGAGCTATTCGCATCATTTGGATGATTTAAATACCGAAATGTTTAAATTGCTTGTAATACATTAACATATATGTATATATAGAAATAACATCAAAAGTCCAGTTAACAATTAAAATCTAAGAAAAGAAAAGTTTGTAATTTTGTTAAAGGAGCTCCACTGAGGTTTGACCGGTAATTTGGTGTCAAAAAAATGTAAACAAATTTCCTAACAAATCACAATATTTTAACTAAAAAAACAATAATTTACATTTTAACCAACCCTTTAGCAACAATTACGCTAGAAAATGCATTTTTCACATTAGCTTTTGATGCAAAAATGAAAGTTGGTTTTCCAGACATGTACAGAAGTTACCCACAATTCAGCGGGTATGACTAAAATACGTAAGGGAGATTTTTGAGACAACGGAATAAACGGGGCAAAATGTCTATTGATTTTTCTCAACACTCTAACCTATCATGTTGTGATAACTTCGAGTATAACGAAGAAAAGATCTATAAAAGCTATTCAAAGTAGCAATTATGATGTCTTAAAAAATTAAACGCCATCGAAGCGGACATTTTCTAGACAAAACGGAAAGATAAATATTTACAATTATTGTCTTTGACATTTTTAAAATACTGTAAGTTTATTTATACCTATATTCAACCAAAAGTAAAACTATCTGTTAACTGAGAAGTTTGTTTGATGTATACTGAAAAGTTTCAATTTCAATATTTTGAAGAATTTGATGAAGACGAACATAGTGCATCGGTGATATTTATTCTATAATGAGCATAATGTAATGACATGTATTTAACGCTATCTATTACGTATTTAAATCAAATACAGTTAATGACATTCCATCCTGTAAGAAATATTGAATTTAAAAGCATTTCTTATTTGATTTTCTGTTTTTGGGGTGGGATGGGGGTTACATCGCACAAAAACCGTGTAGGTCATTATGGCGACTCTTCAGCTTTACTGGTGGAGAAAGAACTCCGGTGCCCCCTTTGCAAAATTGTTTCTGGCACAAACGGGCATCTGAGTATGTAATGAGTGACGTTTCGTAGGCTATCTTGATAGGATCGTACATACACGTTCCACACACACTCATTTCTGAACATTACATCAAATTCAAGTTTACTTCTGTCATTATGTATGTTATGTAATAGAAAGAGCATCGAAACACGAGCCTATCAGATTTGTACGAGGGGGGCGTAGGCCCAGAGTATAAATTAGATTGCCGAGTGTCTTGGTGTTCTTTCTCTTTTGTATCATAAGCAAAATTAAATACACGTTCCAAGTTGTGACAATATGAAATCCCAGAAAAAGGTAACCAATGAACTAGCTTCTGAATGTGGCATTTCTATCGTTATTCCTGTCGTCACAAAAAGTAAACCCCAGAAAAAATGAGTCAATCAATGGGCATGCTCTGGAGTGCGGGTAACTAATACTTGCACTCCAGTTACCGCACTGTACATGTATGTGAAGACACGTTTTCAACAGAAAGGTCCAAAAACTATGATAAATAAATGTTTATGATTCTAATAGAAACTTGTTTAGAATTTAAGGATTTTTCGGTGAAAATGATACAGTTTAGTTGGTCTACAGATTAGATCAAAGTACTGAAGGCACTGAAAAAAGATACACTAGCAACTTTAAGTAACATATTGTCACTCCAGTTTCACGGGTAAATGAATTCTATATGTCAGGTTTACGTCTTAATATCAGTATACCTTTGCTAATTGAGACTTTTGCTTTTGAAAATAATGTAAACGAGTAAAATAAACCCTCTTTTATGGGCAAATAATTTAATGAGTAGCATCCCCGATTTCTCTTTCATAAATTTACTTCTTTTCAAATATTAAGAACATTCTGTCTACTACTTGAAATCTTCCTGGGTATAATTACGAAGGTTCGTTATCTTTCGGTAACAGGAAGAAAATGACAGTATGTACATTTGATCATGACTGTGAAAGAAATCATGTTTTGTGAACATAGTTATCCTGTCGATAAAGATTTTGCAAGCAATCTTGTGTACCTTTCTTATTTTTTAGTGCTAACACTTAGTATTTATTAAATTTTCCAAAGAAAAATTTCTTAGGGACCTTTAACGTTTGATAACAGTATAATCACTATAACCGAAATACCTTGGAATTAATTGTAATGCCTGTAACTGTGATATTTTTCGTTCATGTGTTTAAAATACTAGAGTAGCTCTATTCAAAACGATATCCAGTATTTTCGAAACAATTTACAAAGGCTTTTGATACACTATCTCATAAATCTTAGTATTACGAGTACCACCCACCTAATCTCCAGAGCATACATACGAAAAACAGGATCAATAAGGAATGGTAGCATTCAATGAACGCAACACCCACATGACCAGGCAACACAGGGCCACTGCTAAGTTATCAATGAAAACTTTAATTTCAGGCTTTCAAGTGGAAAATAAAAAGACAAAACAAAAGAAAAAGAAAAACAGAAAGAAAGAAGAGATAAAAGAAGGGTTAAAAAAGACGAAAAAGGTAAAGATTCCAGTGTTATAAGACAGGAAAAGTAGGGTTATCTTCCTAACTTATTTATGCAATCAAATGCACCCGGTCTATATTTATCCATTGCATTTTCTGAAACCAGTCACTCATGTCTTAACAAGATAGTCGGGAAATGAACCTGAACTTTGAAGTTTTTTATCAAATCAAAATATTTACAAAACTATTAACAATGAGTATGTCATGATAAACCAGGCTTTTAGGAGTAAAAACCCGGGTTAAGATATGCATCGCCATTTTTCCAAGTTTATTTACCGTCTAGGAGTTGGAAGTATTTTAAAACATGGTTTAAACAACAATTGTTGTATTAGGTGAGGTTAATATTTTACTGAATTCTTAAAGTTACTTTTACTTACCTGTCCTTCACTTTTGTCTTGCAAGTATCATAATTTTGTTTGTTTCGTTTAATTTGAAATAAAGTTAGGGTTTAAAAAACAACAACAGTTACTATATAATCAGTTTTAATTTTATTACACTAGTAATGGCAATAACCCTGCTATGGCAGCTTGAGTGTGTCGGGGGCTGCGTCATGTGAACGTTGCCGTCGCCTTGTTGATCTTTATTCCAGTTTTCCTTTTTTACCCTTACACCGCTCTCAATTTCTTTTCCACCAGGAAGCTTCAATATATCGATAACATCAAAAGCACAGATCAATTGACCCAACACTAGTAGGGAGGCCTTCCAATAATAAAGAAATTTATCAAGTTATCTGCTCAAGCATACAATCAATAATGATAATAGTAATATTAATAATAGATAGTAATCTTCTTATTCCAATCCGGATAAATATGCAAGTACCGTATGTGTGTAAAATGATAAAAATAAAATTTCAGATCTATTTAGCAAAGGAACATCGATTATTTTTCATGTAGAATTTTAATTATATGCACCAGACATACATACAAATTACTTACTGATAAAGTTGACGCCTAATTGTGCTATAATGTGACATGAAGCCAGTGCTTTCAGTGCTTTGATCCGAGTTAAGAGGAAACGAAAAATCGTTTTTTCTGGAATGAAATTGTGTGTGTTGTGTGATTTTTGATGCTTTCTTGTTCGTTGACTTGAATAAAGGTATTACGGTGTTTTTTCTGAACGGGTCTCAGATAAATGAAAAAGTGACCTTTGAAATAGGACCCGTCACACGGGCTTGATAAAAGAAATTTTCTTAGCCTACATATCTTGATATTTTAACCATAATAATGTTAATACATAATATTTATTAATTACACGAAAGCACTCAATTTAATAAAGGTTATTTGTAAAGTTTGTGTATGTCAGTTTCAAACTCCGTACGTTTAGCTAAATTCATCATTGTAACGGAGTAAAAAACATGTTTACAAAGATATAACCCAGCAGGCACATCAACGTTGTTTCAACGTTGATTTATGGTCAGATTTCAAAGTTGAAATAAGGTTGGATTTATATTCGGATTTGAAAGTTGAAACAACATTGAAATTTCAACGTTGATACAACGTTGCAGCTTCAACGTTGGTACAACGTTGAAGTTTCAATGTCATTTCAACGTGAAAACCCACCATACTTTAATTTTTGGATATAAAGCAAAGTTACAAAGTTTAACAAAATATCAAGACAATATTAAATACTTCAGATATTTTATTTAAAAAATACAGTTCAAGTGCAGCTTAAATTCACTTTAATAGTTTTAACAATTAAGCTACAATCTGTTCCAATCTTTTCTTCTAGATCTTTCTGGGTATGTTAGGTGTTTGAGTACTTCTTTGGCTGTCTCTTACTGCTTCTGCAAATAAAAATAAGAAGTTGTTGACTCGGTCAATCTCAAATTATACATATAATTACTCAACTTAGTGATTTGTTTTTATCTTAAAATGCTTTTCTTTAAGATTTACATCATAAAACAGCATAGAAATTGAAACATAGCTAAGTTTCATATTGACAGCAAATAACGTATATAAGACAACAAAATCTTTTTAGAAAGAAGCTATTTAAAAGTCTCACCTATGATTGGTAAGAAAAACTGATCCCCGTCAGTTCCTTGCAGCAATTTCCCAAGAAATTAACATTCTAGGCTCTAGCTAAGACCATTTTATGCAGCATCCTGAAATCAACAAACATGTAAATTTTATATTAATAATGTTACAGGAATATTCAGAAAATAATATATTTTAAGACAAGATAAATATCCAGTAGTTGAAAAATTTATACTTTGTATTGTAAGTAAATTCAAATATATAAATTAATAAGAATTAATTTCAATTTAACAAACCTGACAGTCCTTTTCATGTTGAATGTATGGTATACAGACTACAGCTGCAATACTCTAAATTTCAGCCAGGACCAGGATCTAGAATATAAAATAATATATAATAAAATAGAAATAGATTTATTATTCCCTATACATTTACGACTATTCAACTTTAAAGTTTAACACTCAACTTTGTTATTTAACTTAATTATAATGTTTTTTTTTTCAAACTTATTAACACTTATAAATACTATCACTAAAATATAAACATAGACATTGTTATATATTGTCTTGGGGCGTAAATTATGTGGGCCGAACTACTTAATAGGTTTCAATTTTATAATTGATAACATTCTAATTAAGATATAGTACAGACAAATGTTTAATAATATGAAAAATAAATTAAAGAATGCCAAGATTTGTAAAATCCTAAATTGCCAAGGACATCAATAACTTCATGCTTACAAGGCCTACCGAACCCAAATCATTCAATTAGGTCACAAAAACGTGTCAAATCAACTCAATCATGTGTTTTCATCTCTCATTTATTTCATACAGTAAATTAAAGTAAAATTTTAAGAATAAATAATGATATTTTAGAAAGATAATCAGTAAACCAAAGTAAAACATTACGGTAATACCTTCGAAATGCAAATAAATTGCCAATCGTGTTGTTTTCAAATTTTCCAAACAGCGCCACCATTTGTACGAACGATAATCATAGACAACAAACAAAATCATAGACCCGCAACAATTACTTCCCCTGACCAGCGTTATTTTATAAACGGGGTTTTGACTAATATCAATTTATTGATTAATTTTATTCATAAAGAACTAAAAAATAAAACAACAAAACATATTAACTAACATTTAAAGCGTTAATATAAAGTGAAAAATTATTTCCAACTTTATTTCTATAAACGCTTATTTTGAATATACGGAAAAAGATTGTAACGCAATTTTCCTGACAAAAATCACTTACAGACTAATTCAATAAAGGATTTATAACACAAAATTAGTGGTATAAAGGTTTATGTAATGATTAAACTAAATGTAAAACTTCGACCATAAACAACGTTGAATCAACGTTGTATATACATTGGCAATATAACCGTATGGTCGCCCATAGTTGAATATTGGTTGAACAACGTCACGACCATATTTCAACGTTGTTTCAACGTTGAAACAACGTCGAGTGCCTGCTGGGAATGCTTTAAATATATTGAAATTGCTTTTGAATGATTTTATTAACAAGAAAATATGTGCACAACAAGAAATTTAACAAACAAACCCATAATTTGCTCTTAAATCTATGCATTGTCAGTATTTGTCACTTTCGCACTTTCGTTGCTGCCGATACACAAAAAATTCTCCGTTTCGCTTTTTAGTCCTCCCGAAACTCGTCACGTGACCGTTGTTTACATTTAGATTTGCAAACTGAAAGGCATTTAAACGCTTTTCCCTCGAAATTGGAGATAACATTATGTTTCAAACGAATTGCCAAGCCAAAGAAGACATATCAATGTATCACTGATTCTGTATAAATGTCCCTAACACGCAGGTAACAAAAAATTATCGGTTCGTGAAATTTTACTTTTTTTTGTGACATTCGACCATACCTCAGTGGAGTACCTTTAAGGAATTGACCTGTATATGCTATTGATAACGAGTTAAACTAATAATTTGTTGTTTGTTTTTCAATTTCTCACTATATCTATATCAATAGGCCTCAAAAGATATCGTCGAATCGTTAATTAGTGAAAACTTATGCTCAAATTTTAAAATCATAGGAACGGTTCTACTGATAAATAATCAGACAAATTATAGAGAAAAATAATTTCTTTAATCTTGGGTATCCATAGTAATGCAATTGCTTTGATAATTAAAATCTTCTGGTGAAATATATTTCCTGTTTACAAGAATAGTGACAATACTTTTGCAATTTAATTGCTCAATTATCTGATAAATGTTACAAAACAGAATACCTTAAGTTTATAAAATCGATTTAACTTTTGATGTAATATTTATACAATACACATAGACTTGATTATTTTAAATAGTTTCAGAAATGATACTTATACTTAAAACATGGTTAAAAGCGTTTCGATTTCTGTTTACTTTTGCAATGTTCATTTAAGGAGATTTTAGTACGTGAAGACAGCTTTCCATTTTTGTAAGTTTTGATCCCTTTATGCAAATCATGTCACATTCATTCTTGTTTTTCCACCAGATTAGCATTCGCTTCTAGCATAGTCTTAAATTCATTCTTAAACATCATAAAACACGTGTTGATCTTTGTTGTCATATTAAATTAAGATTAAATGATTTTTATAAGATGGAAATCTTTCGTAAATCATAACGTGTAGCACATACCCGTTACCAAATCAATGCCAACGCTGTTCAACAACTTACATGAAAGAAACTAACCACTATTTTGTCATTTTTAATATGTTACATTTTCATTTCATCTCAACGTTTCTAATGTCAAACTGCTGTATTAATGTTGAAATAAGTTAATACATGTGTGTGTGGGGGGGGGGGGGGTGGGGGTGTGGTAGGGTAAAAGGTATCAATCGTGTCCTGTAAATATGTCATGTCTATCAAATAATCGATTTTTGCATGCTCACGTCCTGACCAAGCTTTTTTGAATGATTTTTAACTTTGTTGTTACATAACCTGCATGCATTGACTAGTGGTCATGCGTTCTTCCTGTCCTCCATATGTGTATTTGGATTGATATTAAATTAAAATGTGGATTTTAGTTTGCCGTAATGTTTCGTCTAGACTAAGCAAATATCTGATATTTGGAAGATAAAACTTATTACGCAAAATACAAAAACAATGTCTATTACGAAATGCAAATTGTCATCGAACGTTTATTTACAAATTAAAATCACATTAATTTTTATTTATCATTTCTCCGTAAAATGTGCAGTTCTTCTTAAGCTAACGTGCTGTTTTTTGTTTTGTTCTTTAATTTTCTTTTTTGTATTGAAAAGAAATATCTAAGCACAAAAGGTTATGAAATCATTTTATACAACACTGATCTTATTGATAATAACAATGAATAAACCGCGTACAGTGACCAATAATTTACGTCTAATATGGTTTTAGTATTACGGAAGATAAAGTAAATGCCTACTTTACAAAATTGTATTAATATAAGAAATAAGAAATCTTGGCTTGCTTACATATGACAAAAAAGATACACATTAATAATTTTCTCCATTTTCCTGTTGCGGTTATTTTTAAAGTATTAAAAAGATGTATTAAAATAGAGAAAAACGAAATCCCTCAAGATTGTTCAAAACGACAAAATTGAAAATGTTGCAGACGCGGTTTGATTGAGCCTGTTCATGGACGGTACTGGAAAGTGCAAGTTGCTGTCAAACCCGCTAGCACCGGCTGAAGCAGAATTCAACATTTAAACACGAAAATGGTGAAATTTTGAATTTGTAAACATCCGCAGATGTTGTTAATTTGCTTTTGATTTGCTCAATATTTCTCTTTCTTCCTCTGTTATGTTTTAACCTATATCAGTGCTTTGTAGAATAGAAGAAAAGACCAATTTAATCGTTGATGCAGAAATTCGAAACATCCATGTTGCTTGAGAAACCTCATCATTACCACAAGAGGAAACATAATGTGTGTTCAATTATAAGTGAACCAGAAAGACAGATTCTGTAAATAAGTTTGATAAGGTACTTTCTGGCAAATTAATACTTAGTGGGAACACAATGTACGTAAGTGATGACTGAAGCATCTGAATTAGGGGACGGTGAATGTATTGAAAAGTATTACATAGTATCTTATATCGAAATTTCAACAAATAAATCAACGTCTATATGGCAAAATGTCTTTTACAGTTATTGCAGCACAGAAGAAAACTTAAATAAATAATTAAAACATGTAGTTTTTTTTGTTGTTTTGTGTTCGGAAAAATAAGATTTTTGTAAGATTTAGTTCCAAAATACGGCTTAAAATATTTATTTAAACGGATAAACAAATTCATCGCTTAGTTCATCATAGACACAGATTTTTTATCGACTAAATTAAACAGTGTAATGTTCGTAAAAAAGACTTCAGTCAAAACGATATAATTGCGGTCGTTAATGTTATGCAATGATTACTTTAATCTAATGTAATAACCCAAAGGTCACAGACTCAGAAGCAACTGCAAACAGTGCCATAGATTTAACAGCTTCATAAGTTTTATTTTCTGAAGCAGTTACGACATGTTTGTATTAATTACAATCAATTAATATTTTTTTTTACTCAACACAGAAAATTCAAGCGATCCCATGTGTTAATTAGGGGCCAGGTACTATGTATATTGCTTCTGACATATGTGCCATTATATTTGAGATTCTGTTGTGTGCACTTGTATGTTATCATCAGTTTAAGCCATGCTAAAAATTGATTAGGTTGTAGAGAAACTAATTTCCAAATTGTCAAGAAAATAACAGAATTTGCCTCATTAAAATAAACTGAGGCTGACTTGATAGAGAAGCTATAACCTTAATATAGTAACACATGTATATTCTTCGTTATAGATGAATATTCGGCTGTAGGGTAATTGTTAGCAAAGCCGCGCTGCAAGAACAAGTTAAATATTCCAGTCCGTGATGCAAAACATGATTATATTGACTTACTCTAATGTATATATAGTAACATACCGTAAACTTATCTAGTTTAAAGTTCAAATTAAAACACAAAATGTTTTTGTAATATTCTTCAGTAATTGAAGTACAAGAACAAAACCTGTATTATATTATTGATCACCGGTATAACTTAATGTAACGTTCATCACTGTTACCCACTAGATCTATATCAGTAGTTTTCAAAAAAGCTACTGTCGGAACAGTAATTAGGAGAAAATTATGTTCAAGTCTTAAACCTACCGATAAATAATCAAACCAATTATAGAAAACATTAATTTCATTTGTCTAGGTATCCATAGGAACGCAACTATGTTGATAATTAAAATCTTCTGACAAAAGATATTTCATGATTTACATGAACTGTAACATTACCTTTGAAATGAACACAATCTATCTTTGCAATTTTGAACTTCATATTTTTTACATTGATGAATATGACTAGTGGCTATGCAGACTTCTAGTCGTCCGTCTTTGTAATTAACTTGACATTTAATTAATATTTGCCTTCCGTTTTCTTTACTTTATATAATGCCTTAATGTTTCGTCTAGACTGAGTAAATATCTGGCCAAACCCAAACGAAGTTAACGTTTATTTATACCATCTATCACATGGTATAAACACTGTCCAATATTAAATGCAAATTGTCATCAAACATTGACTTGCAAATTCATAATGTTTAATGGTAAATGTTTACTTGCTCTAAGTTTAATCTGATATATAAGACGGAAATTTTAGGAAGTAAAAATGGAATCCAAAGTGGATACTAATTTGACAGGGATTTTTGTTAATTCTGTAATTAACTCGGTAAAATAAAATTACTGAAAATTTGCTTGGACCCGAATTAAGGTTTGACCACATTTGACATTGACTTTTTTGATATTCCAAAAGCCGTTACCAATGTATCTGATTAATGTAACATAATGAAATACCATAGCTTTATAAAATCGATTGATTAATGTAACATAATGAAATACCATAGCTTTATAAAATCGATTCAAGTAGAAGTTGTGATCATTTGATGTATTATTGACACAACATATATCGACTGAATCATTTTAAAAAGAGTTAAAAGAAGGATAATATTCAAAATATGGTTAAAAGCGTATCGATTCGTTTTATATATTTTGTGATGTTTTAGTATTTTGAATGGCAGTCAACTTATTTCAATGTGTATGTTTTGTTGCACTTAAGGCAACACATTACACATTCAGTGCTGATGTTTCTACCAAGTAAGCATCTAGCAA